TTTTCAAATAAGCTCTCCACACACACACACACACACACACACACACACACACACACACACACAAATGCAAAAACTAAACTAAAATTAAAATGAAAGCAGAAAATATCATTATAAAACCTACTTTAAAATAGTAATAAAAATATAATAGTATCTCAATAAAACTAAAATAACACAGACTCACATCTAGAAAGCGTTTCTCTAGTGTGAGTTTGATGTTAGTTTCGATGCTTGTTCTCTTTTTCCTCTTCCTCCCATAACCCTCCATAAGGGGAGGCAGGGTGGTGGGGTTGGTCATGGAGTCGGATGGTGAGTTCTCTGAGAGGGAAGAAAAGGTTTAAGATCGCAGATATTGATAGTGCAGTCCACAAAACAAAAGCCTGCTGATGCTTAGAGAGAAACCATTAGTCAGTTCTGTCCACGAGAGGGCAGCAGCACATACCTGCGTCACTCAGCCACTTCTCCAGCAAGGGCTTGAGTTTGCACATGTTTTTGAAGCTAAGATTGAGAGCCTCAAAGCGTGAGATGGTAGTCTGACTGAAGTCATTTCCATACAGCTTTCCCATGGCCAGACCCACATCACCCTGCAGCCACAACACACACGAGTTTGACAACTGGATTAGGTCCACAGCAGGGTGGGGCAACATTGAGAATCACAATTATTTTTCTAAGACCCACAGACATTTGAAATTACAGTAAAAGTTATATAACAGAAACAACATTTATTATACATATATATATATATATATATATATATATACATACATACATATATTTTATTATATAATATAAATATAATATTACAGGAAAGGTAATAAAATATAAATAATAAAAAACGGTCACAATATACTTGAATTTTGTTGGCCTGACAAACATAAACACATCATAAATTTTGGCTAAATATGCTTTTTTATTTACTGAATAAACACAAAGCATGTCGTAGTCCAGAAAAATAGAAGTACGTGTATTAAACAGAATGAAATGTATTTAAATTAAATGGTGACTTCTATAGACTGAAAAATACATATTTCCCATATGCTGTGTTGTTGTGCAAAATGAAATGCATTAAAAAAAAAATACTTATAGTGCTTATTATAAATGTATTTAAATATGATTCTATTTTAATTCTACTTCCTAAAATTCAAATTTGAATTACAATTCTGCATCATGTTTTCTGCTTTACAATTAGATCAAATTCAGGAACTGACTCAGGAAATGCATTCTCGATTCAGTTCTGCTGCTGATATTTATAACTTATAGTCTATTTTCAAATAGAGATGTATGAAAAAAGAGAATAATAAATGAAAAGTGTTCATATAAATGGGAAATCAATACTATTATTAAAGCGATAATGATAAAAAAAACTATAAAATATACAGCTAAAAGAGTTATAAAATCAGGCACAGTCTTGCCTGAGTAAAGCCGAGTTTGATGCGTCTCTGTTTGAAGGCTTTAGCAAACTGCTCGAGTTCCTCCAGGTCACTGGGTTCATCTTGAGGTGATCCCACATGTTTAGGCACCTGTAAGTGAGACATATCCAGGTGTCCGTCCATAGAGGAGCCGGCCAGACCTGACCTGCCCATTGCCTTATGAGAAAATTAAAACTATTAGGGTCTAGGTAATCAGTTGTTATCATTCTTGTTTGCTTACATGCTATTTGCCTTATTGTCTGATTCTTTATTTTTGTTTATTTTATTAATGCCCTCTCTTTTGTGTTTTACATTTCTCATGCCCATAAAAACGTAACCTGGTGTTATGCATTATGGTAATATGTCAATATGGTAATGCCATGTTTTTGCACTACCAATCAAAGGTTTGCCCAAATTGATATTTCTCATGATCTTTTTAAAATGTTTTATATATATATATATACTGTATATATATATTAGTAACGGTGAAGAATGAAAAGTTTTTTGTTGTTTTATTTATTTATTTGCAATTTAAAGAAGCCTAAGTAATCCAGCATTAGGCTGTGATGTACCTGAGGAGTGAGTGCGATGCCAGGCTGGTGCGGTAGGAGTCCTGTCTGGGACTGGGAGGGCAAGGAAAGCAGATTGGGCTGCAGCAGTGCTGTAAAAACAGTATTTAAATATGTTTGTACTGTAGTTACAGCAGACAAACAGAATGTTCTCTTGGATGCAAACTGATGAACAGCATTATCCCTAATATGACCCAGTGACCCAGTACATCTACTGACCTTGGTGTCCTGATTGGGCCTGTGAGAGGAGAAATGATGAAGGAGAGGACAGGTGAGATCCAGGCATCAGGACTAGCTGGGGCAGAGGGTGCAGGGAGGACAGCTCCTAAAAACACCAATCATCAGCCATATTTCACCACAATTCCTCTTTGTGTAAACTTTAGAGGATTGAATCCCACAAAAACATGCTCAGGTCACATTTTGTCCAGAACAAAAACAGAAAAGTTTTACTACTTTTAGAAAAATATCTACTTTTACGTAAAACATAAGAAAGAAATTCTTACAGGTTTGGAACGACATGAGGGTGAGTAAATGATGACAACATTTTCATTTTTGGGTGAACTATCTTTTAAATACTTGAATAATAATATTAATAAATATTTAATATATAGCTTTTTTCATAAATACTTGAATAACAGAATACATATTTAATATATATTTTTAAAAAATGAAAATTTAATTGCATTAGATTATATTTTACTGTATTTTAGGAATTTATTCAAATAATTATAAATGATTAACAAATACTACCACGTTTTATAAATACTTGAATAATAAAATAAATACAATAAAATAAACACATTTTTAATATATCACTTTTTTCTCAAAAATGAAAACATTTTAAAATTAAGTTAAATTAACTTAAGTGTTGCTTAACTGTTATTAAAATATTATTTATTAAATTTATTTAAAATTGATTAAAAATAAAAATGTTACAGTACCTAAAAAAAAAGGCTTAATTTTCGTCTTTTTTTCATTCAAAACATATTTTTGTTTCATTTGATTATTTTTGTGCAAAATATATGACCCGAACATGCTCTTGATGGATTTCATGACTCCCTAAGGCTGGGTTTATAAGGATGTACCCCAGTAAGCTGGCCTCCAGGCATCGGGGATCCCTGAGTTAGGTGGCATGTCTTGTGTGACGATCCAGAATGAGGTGAATCATTCAGGTTCTCAGTCTTAATCTGCACATGAAACAAAGACTTTGTTAGAGAACGCAAACCTGTGAACATTTCACGATGTGGAGCTGTTCACCGCTGTGTTTTGGTCCTCAGGCATGTGTGTTTGTGTGTGTGTACACACGCTCTTTGTGTGCAGTTGGAGACCAGTAAGGCTGCTGGACTTGTTCTGCCGGAGAAGGCCTTTAACAAACATTCCTTCCCTTCCCGCAGGCACAGTATGCAAATGCCCTCACAAGCCTGAAGCTAGTTCCTGTGCACGAAACTTTTTACTGTCCTCAACATTAGATCATATGACAGTCTGATCTGATGAACTAATATAGTATTATTGCTCAAATATCTCACATGCTGTAACATTAGTAAACTTTCAAGCTGTTTGCGTTTCTCTTCATAAGAGGAGCAATGAGCTGCTCTAAATAACAAAACAGCTGTTTACAGATGATGAATATTAAGTAAAACATTGTTTGTACTCACTTGTCTGGTGAAGTCAATGCCGTTTTGTTCAATGTCTGGAAAATGAAAAGATAATCACACTAGAGTTATGCATTAACATTCAAACCGCCTCCCACCGGATCCAGCTAATTTCACAAAACATTTTAGTTTTCATTTAAACTTTTATTATGATTTCTTTTAAAGGGTGTTCATCATAAGACCTATAATGGACCATACCATAAAAACAAACTCCCAAATGTTCCATTAAACTGAGCGAGGAGGGTTAGTCGGGGGTTCAAAGGTCGTCAATACCAGGTAATCTCTCTTCATTTGAAATTCAAATCCGTCTCTATGAGGCCGTGGTAGGAACGGCACTCACTCACTCCACAGTATGGAAATGTACCCTTCTCCTGAGCCAAACTTCCAGTATGGAAATCATCAGATCATGCAAATGAGTTTCCATGGCAACCTTTAGAGGCCTTCACATTTGAATACTTACAGACCTCCAGGTGCATCTCTTACACTCTCTCTCTCTCTCTCTCTCTCAGACACAATTTTAAATAATACAAATAATGTGATTATAATCATTTTAGTTATTATATCATTTTAAAATCACTGATTTTAAATTCAGAAAGTTTAGAGTCATCCAGTCACGTGCTTGCACATAAATTATGATACTTTTAAAATGATTAAATAATAAAAAAAAGATTACTGGAGTATATTTTACAATAAAATACTGTTTCAGTCTGTTTTAATCTATAGTCAAAAAGTAAGCCTTTTCTTTGTAATTAATTTATAAGCAATTTCTAAATGAAAATTGTGTCTTTGCATTTCCAAAATAATACACTGTCCTCAAAACTAAACATAAAAAATTAGATTTAGATATAAATATACTTCAGTAGTGTTCACGTAGTGGGTTTATGTAACAAGACTATTTGTAAACATGAACAACATTTTTCGTTCAATCCAAATATTTGTAGTTATCACATGACCTGATGGGACATCTGATAGGTCTAACCTTAACCTTAATCCATACTCAAACAATTCACACCATAGAGGTGATGGAACATAAATGAAATATATATTAAACATTCAGTGACAATACTCTGCTCTCTGAATTGTCATTTCTCTCAGGTTCCTCATTTGAAGAAGACGGTTCCGTACAGAAGCCATTGTAACCAGACCATGATTCAGTACCACCTGAGGCTATGAGCGCTTCACTGCAAACAAACCGCCACATACATCCTGGTAGACTTCTCATCCATCAGCCTGCACTCATCACCTGATGAACTGTGTATTCAACTCAACATACGTTGCAAGAAAAACTTTTTATTTTATAAGTACAAAAATATGGAGAGGCAAATAAAATGAAGAAGAAAATTTAGAGTTAGAAATCCACCTAAAAATGACTTTGGCACAAAGCCACTTGCACAGACGTTCGCACCTGAGACTGGGTTTATGCATTATGGTAATATGTCAATATGGTAATGCCATGTTTTTGCACTACCAATCAAAGGTTTGCCCAAATTGATATTTCTCATGATCTTTTTAAAATGTTTTATATATATATATATATATGTATATTTTAATATATTTTTAATAACATATATTTTTTTTAATGAAACTAATAAAATGACAAAAACACAACAAAATTACTAAAACGTTTACATTAAAATGCAAATAGAAAATAATGAATACAAATTAATAAAAAGGTAATAGTACTACAATATACGATTTAAAAAAATAATTAAATAAAACGGGGGTGACAAATGAAAGATACTTTTGATTTTTTCATATTGCTTGGTACCTTGGTGTCCTGATTGGGCCTGTGAGAGGAGAAATGATGAAGGAGAGGACAGGTGAGATCCAGGCATCAGGACTAGCTGGGGCAGAGGGTGCAGGGAGGACAGCTCCTAAAAACACCAATCATCAGCCATATTTCACCACAATTCCTCTTTGTGTAAACTTTAGAGGATTGAATCCCACAAAAACATGCTCAGGTCACATTTTGTCCAGAACAAAAACAGAAAAGTTTTACTACTTTTAGAAAAATATCTACTTTTACGTAAAACATAAGAAAGAAATTCTTACAGGTTTGGAACGACATGAGGGTGAGTAAATGATGACAACATTTTCATTTTTGGGTGAACTATCTTTTAAATACTTGAATAATAATATTAATAAATATTTAATATATAGCTTTTTTCATAAATACTTGAATAACAGAATACATATTTAATATATATTTTTAAAAAATGAAAATTTAATTGCATTAGATTATATTTTACTGTATTTTAGGAATTTATTCAAATAATTATAAATGATTAACAAATACTACCACGTTTTATAAATACTTGAATAATAAAATAAATACAATAAAATAAACACATTTTTAATATATCACTTTTTTCTCAAAAATGAAAACATTTTAAAATTAAGTTAAATTAACTTAAGTGTTGCTTAACTGTTATTAAAATATTATTTATTAAATTTATTTAAAATTGATTAAAAATAAAAATGTTACAGTACCTAAAAAAAAAGGCTTAATTTTCGTCTTTTTTTCATTCAAAACATATTTTTGTTTCATTTGATTATTTTTGTGCAAAATATATGACCCGAACATGCTCTTGATGGATTTCATGACTCCCTAAGGCTGGGTTTATAAGGATGTACCCCAGTAAGCTGGCCTCCAGGCATCGGGGATCCCTGAGTTAGGTGGCATGTCTTGTGTGACGATCCAGAATGAGGTGAATCATTCAGGTTCTCAGTCTTAATCTGCACATGAAACAAAGACTTTGTTAGAGAACGCAAACCTGTGAACATTTCACGATGTGGAGCTGTTCACCGCTGTGTTTTGGTCCTCAGGCATGTGTGTTTGTGTGTGTGTACACACGCTCTTTGTGTGCAGTTGGAGACCAGTAAGGCTGCTGGACTTGTTCTGCCGGAGAAGGCCTTTAACAAACATTCCTTCCCTTCCCGCAGGCACAGTATGCAAATGCCCTCACAAGCCTGAAGCTAGTTCCTGTGCACGAAACTTTTTACTGTCCTCAACATTAGATCATATGACAGTCTGATCTGATGAACTAATATAGTATTATTGCTCAAATATCTCACATGCTGTAACATTAGTAAACTTTCAAGCTGTTTGCGTTTCTCTTCATAAGAGGAGCAATGAGCTGCTCTAAATAACAAAACAGCTGTTTACAGATGATGAATATTAAGTAAAACATTGTTTGTACTCACTTGTCTGGTGAAGTCAATGCCGTTTTGTTCAATGTCTGGAAAATGAAAAGATAATCACACTAGAGTTATGCATTAACATTCAAACCGCCTCCCACCGGATCCAGCTAATTTCACAAAACATTTTAGTTTTCATTTAAACTTTTATTATGATTTCTTTTAAAGGGTGTTCATCATAAGACCTATAATGGACCATACCATAAAAACAAACTCCCAAATGTTCCATTAAACTGAGCGAGGAGGGTTAGTCGGGGGTTCAAAGGTCGTCAATACCAGGTAATCTCTCTTCATTTGAAATTCAAATCCGTCTCTATGAGGCCGTGGTAGGAACGGCACTCACTCACTCCACAGTATGGAAATGTACCCTTCTCCTGAGCCAAACTTCCAGTATGGAAATCATCAGATCATGCAAATGAGTTTCCATGGCAACCTTTAGAGGCCTTCACATTTGAATACTTACAGACCTCCAGGTGCATCTCTTACACTCTCTCTCTCTCTCTCTCTCTCAGACACAATTTTAAATAATACAAATAATGTGATTATAATCATTTTAGTTATTATATCATTTTAAAATCACTGATTTTAAATTCAGAAAGTTTAGAGTCATCCAGTCACGTGCTTGCACATAAATTATGATACTTTTAAAATGATTAAATAATAAAAAAAAGATTACTGGAGTATATTTTACAATAAAATACTGTTTCAGTCTGTTTTAATCTATAGTCAAAAAGTAAGCCTTTTCTTTGTAATTAATTTATAAGCAATTTCTAAATGAAAATTGTGTCTTTGCATTTCCAAAATAATACACTGTCCTCAAAACTAAACATAAAAAATTAGATTTAGATATAAATATACTTCAGTAGTGTTCACGTAGTGGGTTTATGTAACAAGACTATTTGTAAACATGAACAACATTTTTCGTTCAATCCAAATATTTGTAGTTATCACATGACCTGATGGGACATCTGATAGGTCTAACCTTAACCTTAATCCATACTCAAACAATTCACACCATAGAGGTGATGGAACATAAATGAAATATATATTAAACATTCAGTGACAATACTCTGCTCTCTGAATTGTCATTTCTCTCAGGTTCCTCATTTGAAGAAGACGGTTCCGTACAGAAGCCATTGTAACCAGACCATGATTCAGTACCACCTGAGGCTATGAGCGCTTCACTGCAAACAAACCGCCACATACATCCTGGTAGACTTCTCATCCATCAGCCTGCACTCATCACCTGATGAACTGTGTATTCAACTCAACATACGTTGCAAGAAAAACTTTTTATTTTATAAGTACAAAAATATGGAGAGGCAAATAAAATGAAGAAGAAAATTTAGAGTTAGAAATCCACCTAAAAATGACTTTGGCACAAAGCCACTTGCACAGACGTTCGCACCTGAGAGCGTGACCAGTGTCCCATCAACACAAAGAGTTGAACTTTTGGTGATAACCGCAAACGGTTATTGTAAAGAAGCCCAGTGGCAGTTCGTGAAATTATGATCCTCATTTTGAAGGAACGTAAAACTGAATCACAAACACTGTACTGTACAGTTAACCACAGTATCAAAAAAGACTGGATAACTGGAAAGTGGACCATTTGTGAGAAAATTACCTTAAAAAAATGAACCTTTGGATGTCACTAAAAGCAGTGAAATGATTTTAAATATTTAAGAATATAATCACATAATATTTGTAATGTAGCATAGAATATTTTAACTTTTAGCTACATGTATTTAATTAAATATTTGACTACAGTCTGTATGAAGACACACAGTTGATGCTCTTTTACAACATTAAAAAGCATCATCAGAAAACTCCAATTAGCATATAATTGATTACATATGTGTAATGTTATTTACTTACATTCAAATGTCATCATACATTAGTCAAGAGGTAAATTTACCATTTCAAGGCAATTGACAATATTCCAGAGAGTGAAAAGTCTCCTTACCAGCATGTTCATGCTGAGATTCTGTCTGTTCAACAGCCTCTGTGCTCATCTTAATATCTGTAATGATAAATACAGCTGATTTTCCTACAGGATCACAACTTTATGCAGACACTGGGGCAATTCATGCCATGGCCCAGCCAGTAAAATGATCTTGAGGTTTATTCTAATGTGTCCAGCTTTCAAATGCTCTCCTTTATGTAAAGGGCTTGTTGTAATATTCATAAGAGCAAGGGTATCCCCATTCACCATTCACCACAATCACTCTGTCTCTCCACCCTAATCTCTTCTAGTCAAAAACATTTAAATCTGCCAATATAGAGAGCTGTGAACAGGTACAATGCAAAACAATATGATTCCACAAAACGGTCACTGCTTGAGAAGAGAGCAGGCATCTGGGAGACAAAGCTTAGTATTTTAGATAAAAACTTTGAGAAGTACATCTACACTTACCGTATAGCAGGAAAGCCCCACGGATCCAGGCTCTGTAGATTATATCCCTGCGTCTGGTGCTTTTCTCAGGTCTTCGATGAAGAACTGAGTGAACCTTTCTCCAAAAGGTTCAGAGAAACACATTTAGCAAAGTGGGTTAGTAGAAGAGCATGCACCTCTTCAGTATCCCACACCAGCCGATAGACACGTCATTTGCATAAGGCCCTCGGTGTGTCCTATCCAGACTCTGACTTTTTGCATAAAACAACAATAGGCAGACAGCAAACTTCGAAAAGCTAGAGAATAAGAGCATGCGTGCAACTCTGCCTGTGTCTATGTACATTGGCAAACTTAAAGTGTGTTTGGTCTTTGATTGAACATGGCATAGCTCTATTTATTCAAATACATCACTCTGCATAAAGGCTGGAATTATGATTGTTCTTTTCACTAGTCTATATAAGAGAACAGATTTGACTGAAGGTAGCCTAAACGTGTGAAATTTATTTTTGTTTTTCAAACATAGACTACCTCTCAGAAGTGTGCCTCATTATTCTGGCAATAAAAGGGTTACAGTTCATTGCACAACAGCTATCAAGAGACTGTTTCTCTAGCCAGAGTTCTGTGGAAATGTGAAATGGATCTGAAAGCCAAACTGCCAATTAAAAGTGTCTCTTGGGGGGGTTTTTTATCACCAAAATCATTGTGACATAATTAATTCGATTCAGTTACGCTTGTATTTTATTCTCATTATTGACGGGTTGCCGTTTTTAAACTGTATCCAAAGAGATTTTGTTTATGTGCCCCACACTATTCCAGTGAATTAGCCCACTAGATTTCTCATGACTTAATAATAATGATAATATATTATAATTATATTATATTATTAGCCTAATAATTCTGTTATATTAATTTGTGTACTATGTAGGCTTAGGCTATATGAAATGTGTTCCCATTAAAGCTGCAGTCCGTAAATTTTGCCTCTTTGTCGCCATCTCTGTTTGAAAACATGCAATTGCAGCTGTGTGCGGAATTATCTTCCTTGCATGGGTTGTGAGTCGGCGCGGCTCCAGCGTGGATGAATCTAATGTTTTGAGGAGTATGTGTGTGTGTGGCAGTCAGTCACCGCACCGGTGTGGATACTGTACTTCGCACTCAGATTCTAGCCTACGTCTTGGAATATATGAGCCAAATAAGAATTTTCACCAGATATTGTCATCTGAACAAGTAAGTAACAAGTCTGGCACTTTTTGACCAACTGAGGAAAAAAGCATTACAATAAATCACGCTACCAATGGTGCTTTAATCTAAAGATTGCTTAGCTCACATCAAACTGTGCAAATTATTATTGTTATAATTTATTCTCAAATTATTAATGTTAACAACATCAGCATTGCGTGACTATGAGTATTTTATGTTGATCCCTTTTAGTTGCTTAAATTAGTCACTAAAACATAACTTTACAATAATATAAGATTTTCAAAACTTTATCTTGTGTGAAGTGTTTGTTCTTGTAGTAAAATAGACTTTGTCATGCTCACGTGAGCCTGTGAAATTAGGCGGCTAAAAATTCAAAATAATTTTAAAAAACACTCTTTGAAACGATTCACTAAACACTAAACATCAGTATGGCAGTATTTTCTGATCATATGTTCACCACAGAGGCCAAAATGAGCATTGTGAAGCTTTATTTATATTTGTAGTAATCGTTTATATTTCATTTGTGTTTCAGGGCAGTTCGTGAAGACAGAGAAACATAAGAGATGTTGTGACAACCTGCACAGTTCCAGTTCCACCTGCCACACCAGACTCTACTGTGTATGGATGCCTTTTTGGAGCCAGGGACCTCTTGCAGGGGAGAAGATTTTCCAAGGACCCCCTCATAATTACAACAGTGTTTAAGGCTCAAGTTAATGTGGGTGGGAGTATAATGACCATAATATGATTGTTTTATTGGCGCAAATGTTCCCCATTTTATATGAACTGTTTAATAATATAACATTTACCATATTTTCCGGAAAGTTCAGGTCAGGAAAGTTCAGCACCAGGTCAGGAAAAAACACACATAAGTTGCATCAGTGTATAAGACGCATTTTACTATAGAGTGAAAATGAAACTGAACCTTGTGGTGGGTTCACACACCTCTCATTCGCCATGGATTATTTCCATGAGTGAGTCGTTAGACGCGGTGTAACATTTGGTTGCTAAACTATTGTTTATTATGTAAAGAAGGTTTTATACTTCTCTCGTGTCTGAATAAAACACCATCCTTCACATATGCAAAAAAAATGTGTATGGAAAAAACAGGCATGGAGATGCTTACGCTGAACAACACAACCTACATATTGGATTATATCAGCGGTACGCTTGTCCATTAGATAAGATATCATTCAAAACGGTCTATTTTTATGTGTACACCTTCAAAACAACAGTGAAACGTCATACTTTTTGTAAAATAAAGAAAACAAACAAAATGCGCTTGCAGTCTTAGTTTCCATGAACCTCTTCCTCAAATGTAGAAAAACACAGCAGTACTTACTTGTCACACAGACATGAGAAATATATTTACTGAAAGTACCTGCTTTTAATTGTTTATGTTTTGCTTAGTCTTGATGGGACCCCTTCAAAGTAACTTTGGAATAATTCAGCACATCTCAGAAGATTAAAAAACATGTCTTGTAGTCTGGAAAATACGGTATAGCAAAAAACCTGACTCCAGTTTGAATACCCCTGCACTAGCATATTTTGTTCTTATCATTATTGTGCATGCATATATTATTTGGGTACATGAACACTTGATTATTGCATGAGTAAA